CCACCTTGCTTGCTGAAAGTGAGGAGGACTTGAAGCACTTGCCGATGAAGTTCAAGGATTGCAGCCTGCAGTATTGTTTACAACTCTATTTAAAGAAAACAACAACGATAAGTTATAAAACTGCACACATGGAAATCTGGCAGCTCTGAGAGATAGACTTGTCGGGTTTGAATGGAATGGCAAAGCAGTCGCCATTTAGATACATTGTTCTATAATTTTGACTTCCAACCCTTATATTCTACAGTGTATTTTCCCCACAGTGCACCTCACTGACACTCCGCACCTTGTTAGAATAATATAGAACCCTAAAGACTGAACAAAGGTATGGAAATAGGGGTGGGGTTGGGCTTAATAAAAAACACCTGGACTTATTTTTCTAATTGTTTACAGTGCAAATATATGTAAAACATTCATGTTTTACATGAATGTAAAACCAGTCTGGTCCATGGATGTTAATGTATTAAAGGGCTTGAAGAAGACCCCTGATTTTGATGTGTGAAATAATCAGTACTCTGGACAATCCCATTGTGAAACTTGGCAGAGTGTCTTAAGGACTCGGGGCAGTGTCGAGGGGGCTTGCAGCGATGCGGAGGATGACACGGCCCTGGCGCTCATAAACGGGCTGCTCTGTGAAGTCATATGAGACATTGGGGAAAAAGTAACTGGTTGAAGGAGCAGGGGTTGAGGGAGTAGGTCCCGGAGCAGGACACTGAGGCGGTCAGCATGGTAGCCATCAGGTAGTGTGTGACCAGCTGGTCCATCCTCAGGCTGTTGGCTGTGGAGGAGTGGTTGTTGCCCAGCCAGTTCTGAGTCAACATGGAGCTGTAGAGCATGGGGTGGCTGGGGTAGGTTGATGTGCCATTGTAACTCAAAAGTGCTGGTGGTGTAGGGACAAGAAAGGTGACATGGCCAGTAGAGTGATCTAGTGTGGTCCATGACGGTGAAGGTGGTGGAGGTGAAGTGTGAGCTGTGTTTGAAGGTCAGCTTGGCCAACGACTGGGTGGAATAGTGCTGCAGCTTGCCCCTCGTGCAGTCAATGAAGACATCATTATTCAACTGATCCAGCATCCATTAGTTGCCCTTGCCTGAGACAGATTGTGTTGGGTGTAGTGCTGCCACCCTTGCTTGTTCTTGCGGTAGTAGGGGAAGTGTTCTTCATGATGCTCTTGAGCAGCACATGTTCCATCCTGATGAGTGTGTTGTAGCTATAGGGTGGCCACTTGTACTTGTCCTCTCCTCGCCCTCCTTGCCCTCTTCTCCATCCTTGCCCCCACTCCCCAGTCCTTACCCCCACCCCTCACCCTGTGCCCTTCTCTGATAGGGACCAGCTCTCTGGGCAGCGGGCCCAGTTCACCCTTGCTGCAGTGGGTCTGCCTTGGTCCCTTCTAGGGGCATGATGTTTTTATTCACCTCATAAGGCACGTAAAAGTTGAACATTGAGACGAGCTAGTCAGGGTGCAGTATAGTTCTTTTTTGCCCCCCTACCCACCCCCAACTATCATGATCCCAATTCTACCTTATAAATCTGGCTAGACCAGAGGATGTACACTGGTCCAGATAAGAGCTGGAAACACAGGGAATCCAGGAGGACAGATAAACCCCTCAGGACCAATAATAAGAGTGGTGATACCAGGGGGTAGGGGGTAGGTGGAGGAAGAAAGGGGGAACCAATCAATCACAATGATCTACATAAAACCCCTTCCCAAGGGGATGGACAGCAGAAAAGTGGGTGAAGGGAGACATTAGTCTGTGTAAGACATGAAAAAAAAATTATGAATTATGAAGCATTCATGAGGGAGGGGGGGGGTTGGGGGGGGCTGGGGAGGGGGGAAATGAGCTGATACCAAGGGCTCAAGTAGAAAGCAGTTGTTTTGAGAATGATGCTGGCAACAAATGTACAAATGTGGTCCACACAATGGATGGATATATGGATTGTGATAAGAGCTTTATGAGCCCTCAATAAAATATAACAACAACAAAAGAAAATTGAACACTGAATAAGGAAGATCACACTCTGGTGTTGGCAAGAAATATTGATAGTACCATGGGTTGTCAAAAGAACAAATAGATCTGTCTTGGAAGAAGTACTGCTAGAATGCCCCGTAAGAGGCAAGGATGGCAAGACATCATCTCACTTTCTTTGGACATGTAATGAGAGACCAGTCCCTGGGGAAGGACAGTGTCGTGCTTGGCAAAGTGAAAAAGAGGAAGGCCCTGGATGGGGTGGACGAGTGGCTGCAACAGTGGACTCAAACATAAGAACAATTGTGAGGAGGGCTCAGGACCAAAGAGTATATCATTCTGTTGTACAGAGTCACTTATCAGTTGGAATCTACTCAATGGCACACAACAAAAAACAGCGTAGATATCTGGGTATTATCCCATCACCGGCAGTGTTGCATTTCAGTATAGATGGTGAAATGTTCTTTTTGATGATGAATGGCATGGCATTCTTTTTTTTTTTTTTTAGCATTTTATTGGGGGCTTGCACAACTCTTATCACAATCCATACATCTCCATGCGTTGTGCCAAGCACATTTGTACATTTGTTGCCATCATTGTTTTCATAACATTTTCTTTCTACTTGAGCCGTTGGCATCAGCTCCTCATATTTCCCCCTCCCTCACCCTCCCTCACGAACCCTTGATAATTTATAAATTATTATTTTTTCATGTCTTACACTGACCGATGTCTCCCTTCACCTACTTTTCTGTTGTCCATCCACTTGGGAGGGGGTTTTATGTAGATCATTGTGATTGGTTACCCCTTTCTTCCCCTCACCTCCCCCCTACACCCTGGTATCGCCACTCTCATTATTGGTCCTGAGGGGTTTATCTGTCCTGGATTCCCTGTGTTTCCAGCTCTTATCTGTACCAGTGTACATCCTCTGGTCTAGCCGGATTTGTAAGGTAGAATTGGGCTCATGATAGTGGGGGGGAGAGGAAGCAATAAAGAACTAGAGGAAAGTTGTATGTTTTATCGGTACTACACTGCACCCCGACTGGCTTGTCTCCTCCCTGCCACGCTTCTGTGAGGGGATGTCCAGCTGGGCATGGCCTTCTTTTATATGTCATTCCTGGCATAGTAGGTGATAAAGTATTGTAGCTCACTTATGCCTTGGTTATTGATCTTTATGTGTTACAATTTATTCTTTACAATTTCTAATTTTCCTAGATTTATACATTCTGCACCCCACATTCCATTTTTGATGGATGTTTGCAGCCATGTCTTAACATTTTAAACAATGCTACCATAGGCACTGAAGCTTCTGTAACTTTTACTCTAGCAACATAATTAAAATCAACTCTACTTTGAGGAGATGGCTCTTCCCTAGTCATTATTTGAGTGCCTTTTAATCTGAGCCTCATTTATCATTAGACCAGTGGTTCTCAACCTGTGGGTCGCGACCTCTAAACACATATTTCTGATGATCTTAGGAACCGAGACACCGCTCCTCTCATCTCTCCCCAGGCGGGTCTGCCCACATGCAGACACGCCCACATATGAGTACCCGGCATGAAGACTGTTACCTATGCTTACATCATGCTTCAAGACAACATTTCATTGATTTGTCATTAGAAATAAATATTTCACACTATGTAATTACATATTGTTTTTGTGATTAATCACTATGCTTTAATTATGTTCAAGTTGTAACAATGAAGATATATTCTGCATATCAGATACTTACATTATGACTCAACAGTAGCAAAATTACAGTTATGAAGTAGCAACGAAAATTATTTTATGGTTGGCGTCACCACAACATGAACTGTATTAAAGGGCTGTGGCATTAGGAAGGTTGAGAACCATTGCGTTAGACCTTATTTCACTGCATTCATAAGATTCTTACTGGTCAGTTAAGTAGCTCACCAGTTCTAACTGCTGAAAACTGTTCATTATAGGTAATCCTGCCGGTATTTGAAATACTAGTGCTATAACTTCCAGTATCACAACAACATGAAAGCCACTACAGTACAACAGTGACAGATGAGTAGTGAACAATACTGGATAAATAGTTGTATTTTAATATTTTTTATAATTAGACATAGCAAAGGAAACACACAGTGCTCCAAAGATTTTATTATGAAGAATTTGAAACAGTATTAAAAGTTAAAAAGACGACATCAGGGAACATATGTACTCCCTTCATCTAGATCCAGAAATTGCTATTTGCCGTACTCTTTATATAATGATTTGAAATTAGTCTAACTCTAGAAATTTTAGCACACATTTGCTGAGAATATATATACTATATCTCTTAACCACATTACTGTTGTCCTCTTAAAGGTTGATAATAATTCTATAATAACCAATTTCTAGCCCAATTTAAACATTCCCTAATAATCTTGCTTGTCTTTTATGGAATTTTACAGGTAAAAAAATTAAAGGAGCTCACCTATAGTTCTCCACGAAAAGAAAAAGTCCGTCCCTGGAGCAGCATATTCTTGGAAGGAGCTCTGGAAACTGGCAATTCTAGGTTTCAAAGGGTGAGGTCACAGTCTCCGAGGTTACAATTGCCAATTGAGTTCCAGAGTGCCGGGATGCTGCCAGCATGTGTCAGGAGGATGGGGCTGCCACAAAAACTAAGGGAGTGAGGCTGCCACAATTAAGGGAAGAACATAAACCTGTTTTGTGGAGGGCTTGGAATGTCAAACAGTGGACTCACACATAGATTTTGAGGATGACACAGGACTTGGTATTGTTTCACTCTGTTGTCCATGGACTTGCTCTGAATTGGAACCCACTTGATGGCACAATGATAGGGTGTGGCCATGGAAATAGGTGGCTAAGTAAGGCAGGCAATTTGAAATGAGGATGTCAAAAGATCCTACAAGCAAGATATTGCATAGCTTGTGTATGGGAGTATTAGGGTTGTCAGTAGTGTTGAAGGAAATAATACGTGGAAAGGAAATAAACTAGATACCTAAATCTTAAATAAATATCTGCAGGTGACTAGGAGATAGATATCTAGCAAAAAGGGATAGCTATTATTAGTTTCACAACATGTATTTTCAAGTTGGGATTTTTTAGGTTGGATAAATTGCATTTATAAGCACATGCAGTGAGAAAAACTAAAACATTTGAGAGAGGAGTTGTTAGGAATAGGAGTTAAAGAGTTCCAAGGTGATGGGAGACAACATTTTGCTAACGGCAGACTTTATATTTCAAGAAGACAAAAGATTTGGATGAGCTGGATGGGAGATAGTGATAAAGTCACATTGATTGTTGAAGGAAGGAAGCTTGGATGTCTACTGATAAATGAGAGAGAGATACTAGGTTTTCTGTGTAGAGAAAGATGGTAACTGGCTAGTTATAGCCTTCACCTTGTGTCTGGGCTCCGTCGGTCATTTCGGGAGTGAGCATGTGGAACACAGGGGATCTCTTTCCTGTACTGGCAAGCTTTAACTAATGCCAGAAAGGGGACTGCCACTTTATTTTTCTCAGTGTTGCCATTTGACATACTTTATATTTTCCTAATTCATTTGTCATATCCTTCTCCTACCATAAGTTTATTGCCTGTTCAGTGAGTATTTGCTAAAGAAGGTGTGAGTTGTTACAAAGATTTGAATAAGAAAGTTTTTTGTTTTAATAAAATTTCAGTTCAGGATTTTGACCAGTTGTGGTCAAATTATGTTTTAGTTACATTTTATGATACAGAAAACTAAGTTGGAATTCCCACCAGCTCTTAAACTTATGATTCCACCAAACCAAACTCACTGTCACTGAGTTGATTCCAATTTATAGCGGCTCCATAACAAAGGGTAGAACTGCCCCTGTGAGTATCTGAGACTGAACTCTTAGGGGAGTAGAGAAGCCCCTTCTATCTTCCTGGGAGCAGCTGGTGTTTTGAGTTGCTGACCTTATGGATAGCGCCTGATGTAACCACTATGCCACCAGAGCATGTTCAGAAATTGGAGGACATAAAGACTAATAAAAGAACCAAATATACATAGTCATATGGTTGAGAAAATTGCATGTTTTATGAAAATGTGTTGTACTATGTAGATTAGAACTGCGTATCATAGAAACAAGTTTTGGTTTAAATTATAAACTGGTTAACATTTACCTGGATAAAAATGTTTCTTTGAAGTTTCTCTTGGTTGGGAAGATTGGGAGCAGAGA